TTTCCTATTTTTCAGTGAAACAATTTTCATCTGTTCTGGTAGAAGTGAATTTTGTAACAATGAGATGAATATTTCTAAGATGTCTCTGAACACCAGTATCCATTCTGACAAACAAACATAGGATCGAAACCTTCTAAACAAAATACCCTCAGTTTTGTCTGTTAAATTATGCCAATTTACAATTTATTTTGAACTGCTTCTTTGAAACAGTGGAACATATCAGAAAAATAGCAAAAATGCACATAAAAGTTGTTTTGTAGATTAAAAAAAGGTTTTCTTTAATTCCTGTCTCTTATTCTCTGTTTTCATAAGAAATCCCTTACTGAGTCTATTTTCAATGCCTATGTTATTCCATGACAGCCCATGGAGACACTGGCTAGCAGTCCCTTATGTCTCTTGCATACTGAATAAAGTCTCAAAGCACTGAGTGAATTGCAGATTCAAAATCTCATCTCCAAGTGTCATTCAAATATTTAATTTCTTAAATCCTGTTGCGATTTACTGAGATACGGCCTCCACAACCTCATTGGTGAAGGAAGTTGAAATGATTTTTAGAAGTTCCCATTAATTCCAGTGTATTCATTTTTTCTATAGTGATGAATTTCTCCTCTGCAAATTTATGTTGCTGTTTCCTTTGCTGTTATTTATGGTGTGGATATGAACATATTTCCCTCTTGCCCTGTCATTTTTTTCTTGCTCAGTTCATCAGCAAAGTCATGACCTTGGATCTGGGACCCTTAGCAATCAATTCTTTGATAGGACTGCCTCTAGAAGGTAGGATATTCAGATAATCAACAGGGATTCAGATATTTATGTCTAAAGCCTGTTTCATAGGAGCTGAAGCCATCACAAATTGCATTTCTCTTAGGATTTCTGTATCTTTGCGTATGATCACTGTTAAATTGTACAAAAATACAATAGAAAGAAGTAAAACAGCAAAAGAAACATCCATCCAAACTCCTGGGACCCCTGGAGCCTGAAGTCCAGAACACCATGTCCCTGCTATATCAGACAAGTTGGCAGAGGCACAGTTCAACACCATGGAACAGCTGCAGCTCTCTGTGGAGTCACGTCTTAGGGATTTCAATTGTCATTCTATCTTCCCCAGCACATTTCCCTCCTTGTTGTACTACTAACTGCTGTCACTGCATCTCCTCTCCTTAACAACACTCCTTCCTCAGATCTGAACTGTGGCTTAAGGACTGATATTGACGCACATCACTCTCCTCTTGCTGGCTTCCCTTTTCTTTTTTCTTTCTGCCTAGTGAAGCACCTTTAACCTCTCTTGCCTTTCTCATCTTATTCTGCAGTCTCTTGCTGCTCAGATCAGACTCTTTGCTGTCATGTTTTTTTTTTAGGCTAGAATGTGTTTTCCTCATCTCACCTTTTTCTGTTTTCTTCCCAGAGCTGAGCTCCCATTTCTACAAACTTTTTCAAATTCAGAAAAATGAAATCATTCATGCATTCTAAACTCTTAGAAGGGTCTAGCAGGAAGTGATCCTGAGATTGAACAGTATGGTGCTGCCCTCTCACTCAAGATGAGTGCTGAATAGTAGTTCTACCATATAGCTTACAGAAACTATCCTAACCTTGCTCAGCTTTTCTCCAAAGTTTGTAAGAAACTTCAGCACTGTTTATTCCAAAATCACAAGTCAGTTTTGTTCCCTATTTAATATTAACATTAGGGCACAGTATCTTATATACAGTATCCTTTATGTAAGAATCATAGAATCATTATGATTGGAAAAGACCATAAGATCATCTAGTCCAACTTTCTGCCTACTACCAATATTGCTCACTAAACCATGTCTCTCAGTGCCACATCCACAAGTTTCTTGAACACCTGCAGGGATGGTGATTACACCACTTCTTTGGAAGTGTATTGTAGTACATCATCACTCTTTCTGAGCAGAAATGTTTACTAATATCTAGCCTGAACCTTCCATGGCACAGCTTGAGGCCATTCCCTCTCATCCTATTGCTGTTACCTGAGAGGAGAAGTCATCAACAACTCACCACAACCTCCTTTCAGGTTGTCATAGAGAGCAAGAAATTGCTAGGATGAGAAATGCAGATCTGTGAGCGGAGCATAAGGAGATATAGCCAGTCAGGACTGAGATTTTCTGCTAATCCATGTGTTTGACTATGAGTTGAATCAAATTCATCTGAGCAGAAATAACTTTTAGTAACTTCAAAGAATAGCATATTCAGAGGGTAGATTAAAAGGAAAATAAAATGGCAGAGAAGTGACAATATCCAGTACTACTAGTGATTGGGCTGAAAGGAACGTAAGGTAGTAACCTCACTTAATTTATGTATATATAATAAGAAATTATTATATATATATAGAATGTGTGTGCATGTTCAACATCTTCCTCAAAAGCAAATTATACCAACACAACTGCTGTGCTCATTAGCAGTGAAACTCCCAGGTGGGAAGGTACGATCAGAATAGGAAGAATGAGAGGAACGTCTCTATCTAATTTTTCCTTTCGGAAGTTTTTGGTTCTCTGGTGCTCTGAGTCTGAGGCTGAACAAAGCCTCAGTAATGCCATGCTGATTTGCAGATGTCATGTACCACAGTCATATATGCCTTGTGATAATCTTTGAGAAGTCTGTGGCTCAAAGGCATATTTCACAGCTTCTTGCTCTCAGTCATTCACACTATAAGCCTGTGACTTCAAAGGGACATCTGAAAGAAAATGTTTGGAGAAAAAAGAGAAAGATTTTCTGCTTGTATCTTCCCTCCCCCTCCTTTTTTCCTTTTTTTTAACCTTTTTTTTTTTTTTTTTTTTTTTCTTTTTTTGTCCCCCCTCTGGCACATAATATAACAGTTTTAGGACACTTTTGTAAAACTGTTTCTCAGGGTTTTTTCTTTTCTTTTTTTTTTTTTTTTTTAACTTCTTACTTTACAAAAAACACAGAAAGAAATTGACGGGAAGAAAAGAGCTGTGTGATCCCAAACCACAAGCTGACATTGGACTTCTCAAAGTACAGGTAGGTAAGTATCTACAAGTATCTACTTCTAAGAGGTCTTTTTCGGTCAAGCTGGGATGATGTCCGAAATAGTGACTCCAAGGCTTTTTCACATCAGGACTATCAATAGTGGTATACAAAAAAGTGTGTCCTGCTCCCTGCTGCATACCCAATCATAAAATAATTTAGAAAAGTCTATGATGGTAGGTCAGCCTATAGGTGGCATCACTAATATAGGTACAAATGAGATTCAGTCCTAAATTCAGTAAGTTTCATGTTTTTAAAGATGTTATATACTGATGATCTCCATGTAGAGTCCCAGTGAGTGACTTTCACGAAGTGTCTGAAGCGTATTACTTGGAGTGGAGGCATTGCATTATATATACAGTAGCATTAGACTTTCTAATGTTTTTAATCATGTTTTGAGGTCGTTTTTGTTGTAGTCTGTGATATGCAATACAATGACATCAAATGGTTGTTGCACAGAATGATACTGAATGGTTAAAACACATGCATTCTTGTTTGTAGGGAGACATAATGGAGAGATTTACAGTCAGGTTAATGTTTAACCTCTTAGTCTTTCTGATGTTGTGGTTGCAAAATGCCCTTTAAACTTAATTATCTGCTTCTTTACATCTGCTGTTTCACAAATGAGAATTTAAAAATGTCAGTCATCTCTCTTCACAGACACCTATAATAAATAATTTTGTACCACTCATAATGATGTTGGTCATTTTAAGTGAATGCCACTCAGCCCACTGTGCCACTGGGAGAATCATTTATTCCCTTAGTGGTTTGAGGTTTGTGTATCTCAGACCATGTAGTCCAAGGGATAATGTATTTTCTCCTTTACTCCTCCGTATGTTAGAAAACAGAAATCATTTAAATCTTAACATATTATGATTTTTCATCAATGTGATGAGTTCTTTAGTAAAACAAGTCATACAAATTTCAGTAGGAACTTCTATTTAGGAATGTGCTACATTGTCCTGTGGAATTAATTATTCCAGAAAAAAAGGCCTAAGATTAAAGCTCATATCATATACTTACTAATGCTTAGAAAAATATAAATCTAAGAAAGTAACTTCATATGGATTCTACATAAGGTACAAAATGTCTTAAGGCACCTGTTGCCATCCCATTTTCTATATTGTCATATCATTTTCTCAAATGTTTGGTAGAGTAGGCTTAACACTTTAGACTTTTTGTGGGGGATATTGCGTGGGACTGCTGTTTTTAAATAGCTGAAACAGAAACATGAGAACAGTACTGCTTTAACTACGTGATGAGGATAGACCCTGTAGGAATAGATGGCAAGAAAACATTTATCAATGTAGCATCTAGCTCCCTGCCTCAGGTTTCCAGCTTACTATCCAGGCTGACGGGATAGTAAGTCATTATCAGCAAAGAATGGCAGAATAACTAGGTAAAAAAACCCCAAGAGATAACTTTGTTATCTGTTTCCCATATTCTTTCTTACAGAAATGAAACATTCCTTTGCACAGGAATGAAATACCTCTTGGGGGGCCTGGGGCAGAAAGGACCTCTTGGGGCCCTGTTGAAACGGAAAAAAAGGTGAATATTGATACCATTGCTTTTTTTTTTTTTTTAAATTTGAATCAATGCTGGAAACAGACAGAGGACAAATAATGTAAGGGATGTGGGAAAAATAGCACAGTTCCTTACTTAAATGTTACACAGAAGTGCATTAATTCTTTCTTTAATTATGTTCAAGGCAGGTATTACAAATAAGTAATCCATTTAAACCAGAGATATTGTATTTTTATTGCATTACCTAGTTAGATAAGGTCAAACATCAAAAAAGTGTCTCTCCAACTAACATTATTATTCCTAGTAATAAGATATATGTATTTTCTAGCTACTCATCCGGGTCTTCTCATTTACTATGTTTGTAGCCTAGGCTTTTTCTGCTTCTGCACCATCTGAAACCAAACATAGTAACACAGATCATGATTATTTTCAGCTACCTATTTGGCAAAGATATGAGTAGGATTAACTCTTACACTATTCCTGGGGGAATCTGTCCTCATTTCCTCATTGTCTTCACAGATGAAGGAGGTTTGATGCTTTACATCAATGCACTGGCTCGATTCTCAGGATACTGAGAAACTGATGCAATCTACCCTGAACTAAGCAGAGCCAATATTCTTTAAAATCCCATGTAAATATACTGGGACTTTGAACACAAACAGAAAGTTGAGTTTTGAACATTCTGTTGAATTTGTCATAGTCCTGTTGCCCACAACTTGCAATACATTCTGTTCATTCAACACTGGGAAACAGGGTGATTTTGGAGACCAAGTAAACATTGATCCAGTGTATTCTGATGAAAAGAGTGTACTGGTATTTGGCTAAGAGTAGGCAACATATTAGAAAGAGGAAAAACTCATGCTTTCCATATAGTTGATCTTTTGCAGTTGCCTATGGTCAGAAAATGGTTCAATCTACATGCATATGTTATTGTGAGTATAAAAGTCAACCTCATATTGTGAACGTGGATGGTTGAGGCAGAAGTTTTTGTTTTACGGAGATGATTACAGGAAGAAGCAAGAGGTATTTGAGATTTTATTCTTTCTGAAAATAAAGGTCACAACATTTTTGAGACTTACAAAGTGACAAAGGTACTAGTATTAATCATGGTGAATGCCAAAATTGTAACGCTTCATTTTTGATGAACAGTTCATAGTTATGATGCTCACGTATAACTGTCTTACGCCTATGCATTCAAGACCTCTCATAGGAATGTGGCATTTTTTGCTTGTGGACAACCAAAGCGCACTCTTTAGGGCTTTTCCTGGTTCATCCCCTTGGATACCAAGAAAGGACTGTGGAAAGTGCCCTAGGAAAAAAGCTAGATGAAAGATTTATTTCATCTAGAATATCAAAGAACAATTTGAATTATAGCTTGTCATGAATAAAGTATGTTTGTCTCCCCCTGTCCAGGCAAGTTAAAATTAAGATTGAAGTGTAAGAAGCATTTTGAATTTTTGGAAGATTTTCTTATACATTCTTTTTTTTTTTTTTTTTTTTTTTTTTTTATGAAATAATTAGCCTGCTTGATTTTGCCTCACCAGTTTGAGAGGCTAAGTATGTTCTTACTCTGATAGGACTATTTCCTTCAGCATGACACACTGGTGACAAAAGGCAAGTGCTTACTGCTGATATTTTCCTGATTTGTAGGAAACCTTTCTGTTTGCCACACCAGAGCTAACAAAAGTACTAACAAAGTTCTGCTGTATGGCAAGCCATACACCAGAAACCCTCTCCTCGGTTTCTGTGAAAATCATGCTGAAGTGATCATCAGTCTACACCCACCTACAGACCAGACATAGACTCCCCTCACCAGCTCAGCTCTTGAGGCTGCACATAGAGAAGTGCTTGAGATCATAGATTTTCTTCCTGGGTACTCTGCAAAGGGAGCCTTGAGGAAGGACACACTAACCAAACCTGTGCTCCATCTACTGAACTTTAAAGGTTTTGTTTCATCTGTCTTAGCATTAACATGGTTTATCACTAACTTAGGAACCAGTAGGCATCTTCTGGTCTGCGGCATCCTCTAGTACTTGCTAGCTCTTAACATGAATCAGGCATGTGATATGAACCATTGAACAGTTTCATTCAATTCATGAGTGAGTTTCAGCTGGGATCCTTTCCCTCCCTTTCTTTCCCTTCTCTCCCTCCTTTCTCTTCTTTCCTTTTTAAAACTTTTAATGTTTTCCTATTTTGTTGTCTTATCTTTATATTTTTATTCAAGGAGATTGTATAACACCAGTGATGACAATTGATACCCCAGAATATACAAAAGGCAGATAGAGCTAATTGCTATTCAAACAATTATTTTTTCCTGCTTTCTTACGAAAACCTATTCTGCAAAAGATTGAAAATCAGAAACCCATGATGCTAGAAAATATGATATGTCTATCAGTGCATGTGTGGAACGCACATTTTTTTTGCAGTATTTCCTATCTTTTTTGTCCTTTACTGGATACATTTCTTCATATAGTTTATTTGTAATGCATTGTATTAGTGTTTATCTGTCTTCTTGTCATTATGTATATGAGAAGTTTTGGACAGAATGGTGAATATTTGACACACAACAGTAAACCCAATATGATCCAAATTATACAGGCTAATTAACAATAACCATTGTTTCCATTAGAAAATGTGCACCTATTGAGTATTTAGCATCTTTGATGTCTGTTTCTCTGTGTTGTTTGTTTTCCAGATTCACAGAACTAATCTGAGCTTTGTCTGTACCTAGCAGACAAAAAAGAGCAGAAACTATTTACTTGTGTTAGATTCATTTAATCCAACCTGCAAACATGCGACTTTTGTGCAGGCTTATGTTCTTAAGAATAAATTAAATATGAGCATTCATGAAACCAGCAGTCACCAGGAGAATGTTACTTAATTTTCATGAAGTGACTTGTGAATTTCCATGCATCTGCATAGGCAATGAAGCCTGTCTCAGAGAGCGCTGAGAGCAGGGGTCTACAGTATAGGCTACATTAGTCATCTGAACTCCAATTTCAGAGTCTAAAGTCCCATGGTAAATTGCTCTGAAAAAAATCAATAGGTCAAAAGCCCTGTGCATACCAATGAAAAAACTGCTGTTATTCTTGGTAGGTTCAGAATTTTGCTAAGAAAGGACAAGGGAAGGGAAGGCAAGGGAAGGGAAGGGAAGGGAAGGGAAGGGAAGGGAAGGGAAGGGAAGGGAAGGGAAGGGAAGGGAAGGGAAGGGAAGGGAAGGGAAGGGAAGGGAAGGGAAGGGAAGGGAAGGGAAGGGAAGGGAAGGGAAGGGAAGGGAAGGGGGAAAAAAAGAAAAAAGAAAAGAGAAGAAAAGAAAAGAAAAGAAGAAAAAAAGAGTACTGACATCTGGGACAATCCCTGTTTTTGTTTTATTGGATACATAATTATATTCCTGTGTTCTCTGCTGTAAAATGTCCCAGGATTGTGTTTGCTATTCATCACTCAGGGGGCAAGTCTCTCTCCAGTAGCCCTTTTGTAACGTTCATTGTGTCCAACCAAGCATTTCCTTCTTCCGAAAAACTGCACTCCTTTTTCTCTCCTTTGCATAAGGTCATGCAAACATACCTAGGGCTATGACCATTGCCAAGCAGCTGTCACACATAACTTCATGCAAAACAAATCTGCAAAGTAGATTTGGATTCTAATATGCTCCTGTGTAACCCAAATCTGTAGATACAGTCTGCTTCATAGGCTTTTTGTCAATACTTCCCTGCTTTTGAGCACCTGTTGCAGATCACTCATCAAGCAACCGCATTTTGTTTATAGTCAAATGGATCTCTGTATAATAGTCAATTTAAGTCATAGAGTGGGATCTTTAGCTGATAAAAGCACTTTGTGAATGACAGAAAATAGCAAAAACATCATAACAGAGGACATAGTAGAAAGATCATAAACATGCACGATAAGCAGCAGAACAACTAAGGAATAAAATATCATCTCTATCATTCATCTTTTCTATGGAGAAGATAGAGATAACAGGCATTCCTTTATAAACTGGAAATTAAGACTGGGGAAATAGCTGCAAGAAGCAGAGCTACTGGAATGAAATGGAGGAGGTCCTGATGAGACAGGATAATCATACTGCACACAGAAGGAGAGGAAATAAATGATATGACTACCATGGGTATTTTTCTGAATTAAAAAAAAAAAAAAATTAAATCTTCATCATCATCATCATCCTCCCTGTTCATCCCTGATGATGCTGAGTGAATTGGACGAAGTAATACAGAAAAATGCACAGAACTGCCACACACCCTCTTTCAAGCCCCTTGACCTCTCCCCTCACTCCCCCCTCCAAATAAAGCAAATAAATCTGTATTATGGAGGTTGCTCCAAAAGTAATGCCTGATATTTTTTATTTCCATGGAAACTACAATAGATGCAAAGAGTGCAATAAAACTATTTGATAAAGAAAATTCACAGCCATAAAACACTAATTTTTTACATAGTCACCTCCATTAGCTGTGCTTTTTTGACATTAATGAACAAGAGCCTTCTGCACCAGCAAAGGTGATCCACTGTCATTGTCACCACTGCTGCACTGTACCACTCATAAAAGATGTTTATGGTCTATGTAACAGTTCAGCAAGTATCAGTGAATGTCAGTGGGTTAAATTCATCTGGAGGAATTCAGTTCCTAATCTTTGCTTTATCATCTCTTTAACATCTTTATCACTGACATAGATAGTGGGATTGAGTTTACTCTGAACAAGCTTGCAGATGACACAAAGGTGTGTGGTGCAGTTGACACAGTAGAAGGGAGGGATGCCATCCAAAGGGACCTGAAAAGGCTCAAAAAAGTATGTACATGAGAAACTAATGAGGTTTAATAATGCCAAGTGCAAGATGTTGCACTTGGGCAGGTGCAATCCCATATATGAGTACAGACTGGGAGAAGAACTCATTGATGGCAGTCCTTTTGAGAAGCACTTAGAGATTCTGGTGGATGAAAAGCCTGACATGAGCCAGCATGTGCAGCCCAGAAGGCCAACAATATCCTGGGCTGCCTCTAAAGAGTAGTGTCCTACAGGGTGAGGGAGGTGATTGTCCCCTTCTATTCTGCACTTGTGAGGCCCTATCTAGAGTATTGCATCCAGGCCTAGGGCCTGCAGCACAAAACAGATATGAAGTGGTTGGAGTGGATCTAGAGGAGGGTCACAAACATGATCAAAGAGCTGGGACATCTCTCATGAAGAAAGGTTGAAGGAGCTGGACTTGTTTAGCATGGAGAAAGCTCTGGTGAGACCTCATTGCAGACTCCCAGCACTTGAAGTTTACAAGCAGGGACAATCAACTTTTACATGGTCTGGAAGTGACAGAACAATGGAAAATGACTTCAGACTAAAAGAGGGTAGATACAGGTTGTCTAGAGATGCTGTAGATAGTCCATCCCTGGATGCGTTCAAGGTCAAATTGGATGAAACCCTGGGTAGCCTGATCCTGCCCATGGCAAGAGACTTGGAACAAAATGATGTTTAAAGTCCCCTCCAGTCTAAGCCATTCTATGATTCATATTCACTTTTGCAACAGACAGCATTTGTCAGACTGCCCCTCTGCTGCCATCTATTCCAAGACAACAAAAAAATGTAACAGAATATTC